GCAGGCGAAACGTCAGGAGAGAATGCCTCTAGACCATGGCCATACAGCCCGAAAAAACCCTACAACAACCCATGGTGATAAAGCCCAGATAACTCACAACCCATGCCCTTCTTCCTCGATTTCCCATTGTGCTAAGTTCACGAATTGCAATTTTCGGTTTTCACCCATTGAAGCATCGTAAGTTGGGAACGAAGTGGAAGAGAGGGAAACTGGGATGATCAATGTATTGTCAAAGGCTTTCATGGCCGGGATCACTGGGTTGTTGTAGGTTTTTCCGGGCTATATGGCCATGTTCTGGAGGCAATTTTTCTCCTGACGTTTCGCGAAACGTCAGGAGAAAAATTGCCTCCAGAACATGGCCATATAGCCCGAAAAAACCTACAACAACCCAGAAACTGGGGTGCTTTAAAAGCAACTGGAAAAAAAGTGGGAAGGAAGAAACAATGGCTTCTTGGTGGAGTTAGGCTTCTTGTTGACTCTTCCGTGCTTGCGTCCGGAGCGAAAAGCCAGCACAGCGTTGCCGACGCAGGTGCGGAAAGCGTGACGGCGCAGGTAGCAACCCAACCAACTTGGAAACAAAACATTCAGAATTGGGAAAGAATAGAAAGGGAACCTTGATGGGCAGGGAGTCAACATCAATGGGAGTCAAGAGAAGGCAACCATCGGTTGGGTAAAACAAGAGTATTTTTATTTGGGAGGGACGAAAAGGGACACACAAGTAGGAACACTGTGTAACTTTACCAGGAACTGGGGTGGGGTGGACGGACATGAGACTGACCCGTGGCTGCTTTTGGGAACATGTAACAAAGGTTCCTCCACACCCGTCACCATCAGTGCTCGAAACGGGCTCTACGTGGAGAGCGTTATCTCCCGTTGCCCGTCTCCCGCAGTCCAAAGGTTGGCACAGTTCCTTCAAAACCAAAGAGAAAGACGTTGCCTCGATGCGAAAGAGCCAAGAGCGCCAAGACGGTGGCCATCTTGGACAGCTCGCTCCTTGTGGAAACCACCAACCTCTGCTTCCCTTGGGTCAACCTCGTAGTTTTAAAAGGGTCTGTCCATTGCCGATCCCCACTCTCCAAATCTCCATTGAATGGATGAATCCCTAATGCGGTGGTTCTCAACCTTCCTAATGCCACGACCCCTTAATACGCTTCCTCGTATTAATACGCTTCCCCAATCATAAAATTAGTTTCATTCCTACTTACTAACTATCATTTTCCTGCTGTTATGAATAGTAAATATCTGATATTCAGGATGCATTTTCATACACTGGACCAAATTTGGCACAAATACCCAATACACCAACATTTGAATACTGGTGGGATTGGGGGAGGGTATTGATTTGTCCTGTGGGAGTTGGAGTTGCTGGGATTTATAGTTCACCTACGATCAAAGAGCATTCTGAACTCCACCAATGATGAAATTGAATCAAACTTGGAACACATAAAATACTGGAAGGGTTTGGTGGGGACTGACCTTGAGTTTTGGGAGTTGTAGTTCACCTACATCCAGAGAGCACGGTGGACTCAAACAATGATGGATCTGGACCAAACCTGGCACGAATTCTCAATATGCCCAAATGTAAACATTAGTGGAGTTTGGGGGAAACAGAACTTGACATTTGGGAGTTGTAGTTGCTGGGATTTATAGTTCACCTACAATCAAAAGAACGAATTCTCATACACTGTGTTTTCTGGTGGTCTTTGGTGACCCCTCTGACACTCCCTCGTGACCCCTCCAGGGGTCCCGACCCCCAGGTTGAGAAACACTGCCCTAATGGATCCCCAGCATTAAATCAACCATTGGGTGGATGAATCTATCAACCATTAATGTGACGAATTCTCACTTTATGGCGTGTCCCCACCACCAAATAATCACCCCATACTCTCCTCCCCGCTCCCTGATTGGTAATAAACTAGATACAAGAAGGGCATCCACATGTACATGTGTGTGGACAGGACAGGACACGACGATCCCATTACCCAATTGGCTGGGTTACGGACATGACGACGCCATATCCCAATCTTCGGGGAATGCTAGGTTATTCCGACCCTTATTCCGACCCTATTCCTGACCCTCCCAACGCCAGTCTCAGAAGTGCCCGCCAATGTCTGGGGAGCAGAATCAAATGGTCCTCATCTGCAAAAGATAGTGAGAGGTCGAGGGCCAAAGGGATGGATTCGGAGCACTGTCCTCGACATTCCCTTGCCTATGGTTGTCCACGTTCTAGAGTCTGTTGCGCCCATCCTGGTGGACGTCGATGCCCGCTTCACACGTAGTTCTTCTTGTCGTAGCTGGCCATCGTCGAGCGAGGGGCCGAGTAGGCGACGGTGGGCCGGTACTTCTCCTCTTTGGGGGGGCAGGAGCAGCAGAGCAACGAGCCCCCAAAAAGGAGCAGCGCGGAGGCGGCCCACCCGATGTAGAGTGCCGCGCCCAGCTCCCGCTTGCGCGCCTCGGGCACCAGGCTGTTGTAGAAGTCGCGGACGATTTGGTTGGCCGACCAGCAGACCGGGATGAGGGTCAGGACTCCGGCCACGAGGAAGATGACGCCAGACACAATGGTGACCTTGGCCTTGGTGGCTTCGTCCTCGATGCAGCGGGTGCACTGGGCCCCCATGAGGAAGATCAGCAGGCCCAAGGCGCCCAGGACGATGGCGATGACGGTCAACGCCCGGGCGGCCTGCATGTCTTGTGGCAAGGCCAACATGGAGTCGTAGACCTTGCACTGCATCTGCCCGGTGCTCTGGACCACGCAGTCCATCCACAGGCCTTCCCAGGTGAACTGCGCCGTCACGATGTTGTAGCCGATGAAGGCCGTGACCCGCCACATGGGGAGGGCGCAGCACAGGATGCAGCCCACCCAGCCCAGGATTGAGAGGGCCGCACCACCAATCTCCAAACCCATCGACATGGCTGACCAAGTTCTAGGCAAATTTTCCGAAAAATGTATTCGTCCTCGCCGTAACGCCGCGTCCTTTGTCTCGGAGTGCAGTCCGCAGCGTCTGGCTTTGCCCCAGAGGCACCCAACACTCGGGGCGGATTTATAGCCGCCCCACGGCCAAGGGCGGGGGCCCGGTGAGCTCAGTGCGGGGTGGGGCTTCCCCAACGGACTCTCAACCTGCCCTTTCTTCCTTCTTTCGCTCAGTCACCCATTTCTCTTTGTTTGTTTGTGGGGATGGCAGAAAGCAAAGAGAGATGGAGGAGAGGTACTTGGAATCGGGCCCTGGATTCCAGGCAATTGCGGAGCGTGACCAAGGCAGGGCTTCAGGGAGAAGGAAGGATGCCGTTCAGACCAGAAAGGTCCCTCCAAGGCTGTGCTCCTCAACCTTCCTAATGTCCTGACCCCTTAGTACAGTTCCATATATTGTTGTGATCCCCAACCATAACATTATTTTCATTGGGTTGTTGTAGGTTTTTCAGGGCTATATGGCCATGTTCTGGAGGCAATTTTTCTCCTGACGTTTCGCCTGCATCTATGGCAAGCATCCTCAGAGGTAGTGAGGTCTGATGGTAGTAGGAAAAATGGGTTTATATATCTGTGGAATGACCAGGGTGAGACAAAGGACTTTTGTATTGTCGAAGGCTTTCATG